TGAGGCGCCTTGCTGTGCCTCTTCGCCCATTTGTGACGCGGCGGGGTGCTGCGTTGCGGCAAGAATGTCCGGCGCAGACGACGATTGCGGGTTCCGGTCACCGCTGCTGCGGCGGCGGCACGGCCCACCAGCACCATCGCCTCCTGTTAGCGACAGTGGACTCTCCGTCTCCCCCCCCACCCTCTTCACAGCCGCCTGGTTCTCTGCAGCGGCAGCATCCCGCAGCATCGCGGCCGTCGCCGTCACACTCCGCGCGACAAGCTCGCGGTCCAGCACCCGCTCCCCGTGACCCTCGCTGAGCGCATCGTACTCCACGGCTGACCCGCGCGGGGCGTGACCCAGCGGGGTGGTGTTATGCGGGAACGCATCACCCGTGACCTTCGACGGTGTCGCCTGCCACCGGTGTGCGCGATGCTCCGCCTCGTCCAGCGCAAGCCGCAGAAGTTCTAGCTCCACAGTGAACTCATCTGCCTCTGCACGACGCCGCAAGCGTTCACGCCGTAGCTGCCGCTCCAACGTCTTTACACGCGTGAGTAGCGCCTTGCCCCGCTCTGCACTGTCCCCTCCCCCTTCATCATCATCATCATTATCATCATCAGCAGCAGCAGCGTCACGGACAAGCGGTGACGGATCACTATGCTGCACCTGCTGTCGTCGCCACCGCGCCTTCTCATGGACGTGGCTGCGCCCCATGTGGCACAAAACTATCGCAGAGGAGGCGCTACTGCTGCTGGATGGATGTGAAGCGGAAACGACGCCGCTTGTCACGCACGGCGTCGCCTCGTAGTCGCGTGGTTGCTCCGCTTCGTCGCCGCTGTGCGTTTGGGCGCCGCTCATCACCCGCCGCTGCTGCTGCATCCGCAGGACGGAACGTACGAGGAAGCGGTTTTCGCGCTGCAGCCGCCTTGCGTGTCGCGCGTGTCGCTCCACCTCCGCCTTGAGCACCGTCACCACCTCCTGCAGCGCCGCGGCGTCCACCGTGTCCGTCCGCATCGCTCGCAGGCCAGCAAGTCAAGGCGACGCTGCAATTCAAAGCCGAACCCAAAGAGTCAAAGAAACAGGCAGCGTCTTCTCCCCGCCCTTCTGTGATTGTTGTTGATGTCGTTATTGGTGCTGCGCTATCGACGGTGAGGATGCACGTACACGCGTTGAAGCCTGTGAGTCCCCCCACGCCCTTCGGGTCCCCCTCTCCAAGAAAAGAGTGGAAGGGACAAACACACGAGTTTGACAAATAAACAAACGAGGACCCAAACCAAAAAAAAAAAAA